ATATATTGTTTAATAGATACATAAAAACTTTTCTATAAATATATGTGTGTCTGTGTGTATGTATACATATATGCATACATACATACATATATACATATATATGTTAATATATATTTTAAACATGAAAGCATGAAACTTTTCAGCAAAGTCCATTCACACGATGGATAATCAGGTTTTTATATTAAAAAAAGTCGACATCCGGGCACTGTACACCATGGACATAGCTCTGATTGGCCAGGTAGCGTACGCATGCGTACTACAGTGGCGCCCAGTTAGAAACCGTTAGAGGAAATGGCGGACAGTCGGTGGAGAAATCAGGCGTTTACATCGCTTTTTGTGCGATATATGGCACCGCCGGAGTCTACGATGATCGGCAATCGTGTTTGGAGAGGCTTGAGAGTCGAGGGGAAATGCGATGTTATTCCACACGCCCGGAATAGCGACGCTACGAGCGGAGCAATCTTCGTCGCCCCCCTCCCCCTTACCCGGAAGCCCGTCTGCCAGCAAAATAATTTTGACCAAACATAACGGACGGTCCTTCTAGTTCGGTAAGTGCGAGAGTACATATTAGAAGATGTATGTAAAACAAACCAGTCATGATCCTGCTTGTCTTCTTGATATGTAATCAGCAGAAGCATAGAATGCCGAACTATTAACTAGTCTAATCTGCCCCTAGGCCCTCCCTAATAATAGTCATAGATATTTTTTATGGGAAAAATAAATTCATGCCGGTCAACGGTCAATAGGCATTCGTGTTGGGTTTAAGCAAGGACCTTGGTTTAAGATATGAAGCAGTTCTTTACAGCAAACACATAGCCAATCGTGTCGATGAAAAGAGGAAGTGATAAAAAATTATGTGATGTATTTGTTCTACACAAAATGATTGTGTTTAGGCTATTCAGCTACAGCTAATATCTGTTAATACATGTAAAAATTTAGATCAAGTTATATGTGTATTGAGGATGCTCACTTATTTCTGAGAAGTAGAATCATGTGGCACATTTTGTCACCTGTGTCATAATTTTTTTCCCTTTCTACATACCTCCAGGAGATCATATGTTCCTCCAAAATCCAGCAGAGATTATAAGGACAGTCTGGAACAAGGCAAGGCAAAGCCGCTGCTAGAACTCAGCCTCTGAGTACCTGACTACTGCTACAGGCACCATAGGTAAGACTACAGCCCTGCATACTCATTAGTATCACCACACTTTAAATCAGTGTTCCTGAACAAATTTTAGATATAGGCACACGGGGTCAGGTACACTACAGGTCCTGAACTGAAGGATGCTGATACTGATAATTAGAGCTGTACAGTTTGCCACCTAATGCCACAGACTTTATTGAAGATCAACCATTATTTGATCATGGAGGAACATCTGTACACAGGTACCTAAAATCTGTTTAAGTACACACCTGATGATACTGACTGTTTGCTTTGCAAATTCTTATTAAGTTTTTAATAAGTTTTTAAGATATTAAGTCTTGACAGCATAGAATGGACAGGTCATAATCATTGTGACATGGTCCTTAGACTATAGTAATATGGCTTGATGTTTCATGATACTTTTGTATGGTTTTGCCGTACAGGACCCGACTCACCACAAGGACTCTAAACCAGCACCAAGACATCCAGCATGCAGACACAGAAGAGACATCCCTGTATCTTACCCAGAGTGTTGACAGCAGTGGAGTCAGATGTAGATAGGAATGGGGAGAGGATGACAACACCTTCATTTTTATACGTGATGGTTGTAAGAGTATTGGTCACAAACCACAGGGCACAAACTAATAAGGCCTTCATAGCCTTAGTCATAGCAGAATATGTAGCAAATTGTACTTCAGTTCAATTGTACAATACAGCAGTGAATATTATCTTGTAGTGATGTTGATAATGGTGATACATATCACAGGTCAGTTTCCTTGTTTTATGATTCTTTGAATACATGTAGTTTGCTAAGCCTGCATGTGGCTGTTGTACAGGAGGAATCTCATCTGTAGGGGGACCTATTTACAGCCTTAATCAGGGGCGCGCTCCTGTTTAAAGCCTTATTATTAGGTGCATGTCCCTTTTTAACACCTTATTTAGGGGCGCGCCCCTGTTTAAGGCTTCATTCAGGGGCGCGCCCCTGTTTAAGGCTTCATTCAGGGGCGCGCCCCTGTTTAAGGCTTTATTCAGGGGCGCGCCTCTTTTTAAAGCCTTTTTCAGGGGTGCTGATATATTTAGATTGTGTCTGCAGATATTTTGTTTGTTAAATGTCTTTCATGATAAATGCTGCATGTAATTATTTCTTGTTAAACATGATTTTCATGTTTGTAAGAAAATGTATGTGATAAAATTATAATTTAAGTATTTGCAATGCAGCATACCTTTTAGAAAATGCTACTCCCAATGTCTCTCAATTTTATCCAATAAATATATTTGAGTTCTCCCTAAAACCCAGTTCTTGTGCTTGTAATTCATTTCTAAATGTGGGTATATGGGGGGGGAGGGTATAGTGCAAAATCATTCTGGTAAAGGCATGGCAAATCTGGTAAATCTAGTGTAAATATGGGTAAATTCGAATAAATGTCAGAAATACTCCACCTGGTAAATCTCGGTAAATGTCGTAAACGCACCTGAGGAATACCCGTATGGTAAATCTCGCTAAATGCCCTCAATATGTGTCAGAAATACCGCGTACGGTAAATCTCGCTAAATGTACCTTTACCCGAACCTGGTAAATGTGGGTAAAGAGGATAAACATTACCCGCTTTACCATGCTGGTATACCGGTGTTATAGTTGCACATTTACCGATGGGTAAATCTCCGGTAAATCTAACCTTTACCCGGCTTTACAACACATTTACCCCTGTGGTAAATCCGACTTTTCGTGCAGTGTGATGAACAGTTGTCTACACGTTCTACCCCATGTAAGGATGGACAAGAATGCCCCTTCCTCACCTTCTACGCTACGACATTCCAAGATCAGAGGTTTTGCCGATTGCTAGCACTTGCCATTTCAGTCAGAGGGAAATTCGCCGACAAAAGCGAACTAATCCCCAAGGTCCGTGCCAAGCTTGCCGACATAGAGCTGCATTGCTACAATACTATAGAACTACAGCAGATAGACATACAAAATGAGGGCATCCTGTCGCGCAAAGGAAAGGAGATGCTGGTGTATTTGTCTGTGAAGTCTTCAGGTGATGGCTCAAACCATGTTAACATGTACCTGAAACACGGTGCAAATTCAGGAGGCAGCGCTCATGTGCCTTTCAATATCCAACTTGCAAGGGCACTTTGTGATGTGTTCAAGGAATACGACATGGACCTTGAGAGCGTACTGGACGAAGTCATGAAGCTTCAGCCAACAACAGACACTTTAGATGTGGTTAGGTATGAATCTCTCCAACGAACACAAGATGTCTTTCCCCTGGGTTCTTCTTGTACAGAATCTCGTGTAAGTCACAGACCAGACATAGAGTTTGAAGAGGGAGAAATTGTTGCATATCGGCTGCCAAGCGCAGGTCAACAAGAACACATTTTCCATGCCATATTTGGGAAAGTTGTGAAGGAGGAAAAGGTAGACGATCTGAACAAGAAAGAAGATGGAGCCATCGCATCAGAAGAAGAGTTAGCCCTCCAAACACAAACATCTATGATTCTAGATTTTGAACGCATCTTTGAAGTACGTGTAAATTATGATGATGAAATCATGCCGGTGAAAATTACCGATTTGTATAAAATCAATGAAAACCAGGCAGTACAGGTTATGGTAGAGGCGGAGGCTTTTCTGCATGTGACACATGTTCTCAAGGGGGCTTGGGAATTGGAAGAAGACGACCACAAGAGGGTTGTAGGTCGGCTGTTTCTGTACTGGCATCCAAAGTCGAATCAAAGTAATGAAGACTACGCCCAGAGAGTAGTTGAACACATCAGGCTAGAAATCAAACGATTGCTTAGAGAGGATGAAGAGTCACCACCATCTTTAGTTGATCACAAGTCAGGATTGTCAGTTGGCCGGCATGGTAGCAATGAAGTGCACTTTAACGAACGAGGATCGGGATACGAGGGCTCTCCGAGGCGAACAGGATTACACAGGCGCCGGTCGGGACGTAAGATAACTAGCAGAAGCAGTCGCCCACTGTTTCTCCATGATGACTCAAAAATGATTTCGCAGGAAGAAATACCCAGAGTTAAACGCAAGTCACACGGCAGGAAGCTGTGTGACTCGGACTATGATGGAATATTTAGTCAGCTTGAAGACCACACCATTGGACAAAGAACTCACAGTGAAAGGTGTAACATTGTGGTAGGTGGTTTCGGTGGGCTCAGTCCTCGAGTAATCAGTGATAGGACACAACCGCGAGGCGTTAGACCAAATCACGGGGAAGCACGCAGATGGTTTGAACAGGCAAAGAATGACTTCCTTGCTGCTAAACATTGTTTCGATGGCGGATTCTATTGTAATGCGGCTTCCATGTGTCACCAAGCCGTGGAGAAAGCTCTAAAGGCTGCCTTGTTTGTCGTGGATGGATCGCAGTATCGGGGACATGGGCTCACTCAGTTGGCTAAGAAAGTTGCTACACGTCAGCATGCCTTTAATGACGTTGTTCACATAACCTTCCAACTGTCCCGCCTCAAATGTAACAACGACATGCCACGCTATCCTGACCAATGGGCAAGTCCCGGCATTCCTGCTGCTGCGTACAGCAAAAGAGACATCCGCGACATGCTGAGTATGACAGACGAGGTGCTGGGCCATGTATCATCCCTGATGTAGACCTTCCAGACATTACTTAGTGAGCGTCGATGAAGGTTAGACATCCAGATAATACGATACGCCAAAAAGCAGTTACTCAAGCAACTGGATGGATCTGGCTACGGGTGGATCTCTCCGGTACTTGAGATTTGGCACTCCCAGCCCCGAAGACAGACAACACTTAAGCTCCTGTTCTGTATAACAGGAGCTTTCTGACTAATTTACATTATCTTGTCTTGACTTGTCTGACTTTTGTTCCTTTTTCGACTTCCAAAAAATTGTCTTCACTTTATTTGCATATCAATCAATAGTTTGTCCTGATAAACCTGCATTTCCCCTCTGGTCTCTCAGTCACTGACGAAAGCTAGTGGATACTAGCTGAAACGTCTGACGTTTTCAAAATCATACCCAGTTGCTTGAATAACTGCTTTTTGGCGTATTACTTAGTGTAGTGAGTCACTTGGTTCACAAGTTAGGTATTACTCGTGCACGCGCATGCATCTTTACAGTAGCATTCTGATGATCTCTAATTTGTGTTTTTATGACATAAAACAGCTTCATGTATTTAAAGAACGATTACTTTGAAGTTTTTTTGCGATACGTAGTTGCCACCCAAATCCTGAATCACTTAAATCCAATTATTAATTCACCAATGGATATCACTATGGATACATTTCTGACTAGTTTATTTGTAGTAAACTGTGAACAGCGCCAGTTCAAAATAGAAAAGGCTAACGTAGGGTGATCAGCTCCTTGAATTTGGAAAAATAACTGAGTGTGGAGTAGGAAACGCTGATCCCCAGGTTCTAAAGTCATTTAAGAAATGTGTATATTTTTATAGCATCTAGCGGTGCGACCACAAACTGCTACGTACAAAACAGCTGACTGACAGGCACACTGCATGCAGCATGGATGCGTTTATTCCAAAGGTAAGTGACATTTTTGTGTACAGATGATCATTTGACGTCTGTAGGCAACTAAATAAAGTATTTAGGCATTTATCATGAATATGGTGGAACAAATACACAGCGACAAATACCCTCCTTCAAAAGAGTTTAGTAGCAAACTTAGTCGATGTTGACATTGACACAGTGAATCCTTCAGGAGAATCCTTCGTAAATATTCAGGAGAAGCCCCCCCTCCCCCCCCC